TCTCTCTCTCTCTCTCTCTCTCTCTCTCGCTCACTCGCTCGCTCGCGGGCGACCTTAAGGCAACGCGAGCGATATGAGCATATCTCTTTAAAGCGCCAGCCGGCGACGCGGCAGTGGTGCTCACGATCGATATCTCGTGAGTCGCGTCGAATATGCGAATAACAATCCACGTTGCACGGAGGTGCACGGACCATACCCCGCGACCATACCGTCGATGCGTAATCTACATAGACAATGCGTAATCTAGCTCATACATCGCGCGTAATGGCCGCACTCTCTCCGCTTTTCCCTCGCTTCTAGAAAACAAAGGTGAAACAAAGAATCCAAGAGATCATGCTCGATTTCACGCGGGATTTTTCGAATCTGATCTGGTACAGCCTACGACGGGGAAACAGATCTCGCGTGCAACCGGCGGTGGAGTGTCATCGCGTGTACGCGTCGACAACGCAACGTCGACGCAATCTCCGATTTCCGGCGTCGCGACGCTTTCGAGTCGATTAATAGCGAGGTATTACAGAGGCGAATTTATTACGTAGAAAAGAAGCGTAAGAAGAGACTCTATCCGTCCGTCCGGCCGACGGAGATCGAGCCAGGTACTCCTCGGCTCCGATCAGGTGTGTTGGCTAAAACCTGTTGGCTCGCCTTCCTCCTTCCCTTTGCGAGGGAGACAGGTGGTTTAGAGGAGGGCCCAGCAGCTTTCGAGGAGGCTACCCCGACGTGGAGAAGAACGAAAACGGGCGTGCAGAGCGCGCGCGGGGAGGAGGGCGATCGAAGGAAAATATCGCCGGTCAGATCTCGTTGAAGCGGGGAGGGGGGGGGGCGATTTTTCCGGTCCGAATGCCGTGGCCACTCCATAAATCCTCGGAACGGTGGAGACGCTGCAAGGCGGGGGAGAAGGGGGACGGGGGGGGGGAGGGGGGCGAGCGGCTTTACGAGCGGGGAAACGCGCGCGGCGAACAAAGGCTTGGCGAACGCGCGCGCGTAACGGAGCGCATTCGAGATGCGCGCGGAAAGATTTGCGAAACGCGGAATAAGCGGCCCCATTATCGCGAGCGGGCACGGATGAGTCACGGTTTCATAACCGGAGTCTTAAGCTCCACTTTTGCGACTAGATTCCCGTGGCCCCTTCATCGCACCCCGCCCATCTGGCTACCCCGCGAGTTCGTCACAATCGGGGAAGGGGGATGAATGACGCCAAAGGGAAATCGAGAAGATTTTCGATGCTTTGTCCACCCCCCCCAAAAAAAAAAGAAAAAAAAAGAAAAAAGAAAAAAAAAAGAAGAGATTTCGATAACAGTATTATCCAAACGAACCGAAATGCAACTCTGATTTTTCCTTATTTCTACACTTTTTATCGAAACTGTATGTCAAACTACGTAAAGTTATGAGGAAATAGATAATATTATTAACGTGAGCATTCAACAAAATTTCTTTGATCTTTCGTCTTGAATCTAGAAAGAATCTAGAAAGAAAAAAATAAGTATATAGGACATGGATCTCTCTTTCTGCTATTTATTTATTCGTTTGAATTTGATCTGAAAAAGGGAACAGCAGCGTATTTGTACAAATTGGAAACATTTTTAACGTAATGCAATTTTTAAGTAACGCTATTAATAAACAGTAAAGTTGAAATTATTATATATTATATTATTCATTAATAAATATTAATATTATTATAATATTAATATTATAATATATTATAGTTATTGAGTAATAATTAATTATATTTCTATTTATTTTATTACACAAAATAAGTAAAATGAAAGCAGAAGTATCATCAGGTGCCTCATGACTCTAGTCTAAATGAGTTGCTCCAACTCACTATATTATCTCGTGCTTTTCCATATCTCACAATTTTAATTCGATGCTCCGTCCGACTATATGTCAATAATAGATATTTTATTAAAAACGTTTCCCTCGAATATTGGCTGACATCTCTATTTTAAGTAATGTTGTTAGACGTAGATCAGAAAGTCCAGACAATAATTCGCGATAAAAGAAAACGAAAAAAAAAAAAATATATATATATATATATAAATATTGATAAGAGCAGAAGCAAGGCTACTCTCTAGTAAAGTTTACGGCGAATACTTTGAGAGAGAATCAGACCGGAAAGGGACACGGAGAGAACGTCGATTCCTGACGCGACACGTGCATACGTTTAACGATCGATTAACGAAGGTTCCGCTGTGCGATTCGACTGGCAACGAAATATACGGAGAAGGGAGAAATGCGCGATTACGTCTATTTTCACGTAACACGCGCGCGGAGATATCCTACGTGGTCGCGAAAAATATCGCCCCGGATGCACGCATGCGCAGGTCAGCGGTTAGCGTTCGCGCGACGGTAAGATCCTAAGTGCACTGACCCCTTGGCCGCCATGCGAAAGGCGGCTGTGTAGGAAAGTGATAGTTACGAATACGCGCGTCCGATTGTAATACGCTCGTCGCTTTATTGCTTCCCCTTGAAGCCGCGATATCGGCTTCCGCCTGTTCGATATTGGCACATTCAGGCTCGGCAGCTGTCCTTTATGCAATGCCTCCAGCGACTCGCCGATACGACGTTCTCCTTCGCGCGCGGAAGGATCTATTCTCCTTTTCTTCCCTCTATTTACTTCACGGAAATCGACGATAACGCGGACGTGCGTGCGCGAGTGCGCGGAATGATTACATCTCTTGCCTCCGGCGACTCGATCTTGCGTGGGCACCGTGACACATATACGATCTCACTTATCTACAATAGGCGCGAGGAGCTATTGTAAAAAAAAAAAGACGTACTTCGAAATAATCTTATAATTCATCATACGTAATATCACATAATCACATTTATAAACGTGATATCTAATTAAATCGACGACATTTAATTACATTTCTTTTTACTTACAAACTATGTCGGCTCGAGGGAGAGCAAAAAAAATATCTCGTACCTTGTGTTTAATTAATATAACAGGGATTATAACTTCTTTATGTGCAGCAAACGTGGTCGCAAATGAGCTAAAGAGATAAGTCAATTCACAGTTACCGGTGCCGCCGCCAGAGGGCGGCACGTACCGCGTGCTCGGCCTCACGACAGGGATCGAAAAGGCGCTGCGAGCACCACCGGTCGACGTGTTGCGGAACACGCGGCTTAAATTCGGAAATAGCTAATTTCTTCTTTTCCAACGACGACCGGTCGAGATGGCGAGTGCGGCCGCGTCGCGGCCGCGAGGCAACGCGAATCGAGCGATCCTCAGATACTCACGTGTCCTCCCTCGCGTTGCTCGACCGACGTCATGTTCGAACCTCCTCGACCGCCAACGGTCGTCAAGGCGCGGGAGCGGGCGCCGTTGTATCGCCACAGGAGATTCACGGCGGACGTACGCAGCAACGACACACCCACTTACGCGGCACCACGGCGTCGCGACGCCGTCCGTCGGCGCGCGTCGGCGACGTCCACGACCGTTTTTCCTCCCTCGTCGACGAAGGAGCCGCGCTCGACCGCGCAAACGAGCCTGTCAATCGCGAGACCGCCGCATGGCATGGCGACCGCGGGCGCAACTCGGCTCTTACGGCGCTTTAAACCCTACGTCACCGTTCCGGCCGGCGTGACCATTGGCCGCGGCGGCGGCCGCCGGCCAATCGGACGCGAGCTCGCGGGATCGCGCGGGAAGGCAAAGTGCTCGGCTATCGCCGCGCGCCGAAGGACAGGACCGCGAATAGCAAGACGCGCTTCTTCAACCGGTCGTTCGTTAACCCGCGGCACTGACGCTCGAAATAAAGACGAATTTCGACGAATTTCGGTCGTTTCTATATCGAGATGTCGCGATATCCGACGTAATTTGCCTCATTCTATCTAATAATGTCCACTATCCACTATATAGTTTTTTAGTTGAAATAACAGGTTGAAATAACTTGAAATAACAGGAAATTTAAATGTTTACTTTTCCATTCGGTTAATTCAATATCGCGAATCAACATACGCTGCAGAGCAAAGGATGATTCTTAAGGTGCCTCTTCATGCTGACGTTTAACGCGCATTTTTAGCGTCAAAATATATCACGTGGTCAAAAGTGACCATTCAAACTTCACGATTCTGCGTCAGCTTTGATCACGTGATCTATTTTGTTACTAAAAATGAGCATCGGGCATAAATTAATATCCTTGGTATTTTTGGTATTCATAAAATAAATTCATATTGACGCTCGACGCTCCTCTTTAACATCAAAATAGAATCATGTGATAAAAATGGATGCAGAATAGTAGAATTTAAATGATCATGGTATTACGTGATCTATTTTAACAAACGAAATGAAAATAAATGTCGAGTATGTCGGTATGAAAAGGCTCCTTTGAAGTCGTTTGAACGTCAATTCATTACGTCAATAATGGTCAATAATTATTCAACTAAGAATAAAATAAAGTCGCAACGGTGCGGATGACTTCTATTTCGGAATATCACGTAACTTTCGTTAACGAGATTTCAATTTTACACGAATTTTATTTGAAATAATAACGTACCGTTCAAACGCAACGCTATACGTCATGGCGGTTGGGGCGCTTAAAGGGAATGAATTTAAACGGGAAGAAGAAGAAATATCGTGATCGATATCTTCGCGATGTTCTCTGTTCCGTGCTTCCGTGAGCCTGTTTATCCTTTCGAAATCACCGATCGTCGCGCCTGCGATCTCTCGAAATGGAAAATCGTGAATGTGAAAAAAAGGGCGATCGCGATCTTGACTTGCGTTTTGCGTCAAGTGGTCCGGAGTGAAGTTAGTAGCAACGCGTGCCGTCAAGATGGCGGCACCAAGCGCCGTATATACGCGTCTCTGATACGCGTGCGTTTATTTGCGTGTCGCGCGATGCGAGCGAGGCGGAGCGGCTCGTGAATATTCGCATATATACGCTTTCGAGGGCGCGTTTCGGGCCGGATTTTCCGCAACATCGACAAATGAGACGCGGCGAGCGAGGCGAGGTCTGCGACAAGTGCTTGCCGAGAGCGCGATCAAACGATGAACTATCTCAACAGTATAGCAGGCGGCACGACGACTACCGACTCGGGCCTGCAGCTGAACAATGTCGAGATTCTCTACACGAAGGTGCAGAGGATTTACATCAAGCCGCAGCATAAAGAGGAACGCCAACGGGATCTCAGAGTCAACGTCGAGATTCACGCTGGCATCAGTCCAGTCTGCCGCAAGGTAACTTTCTGAGTCCTCCCCTCAGGACTGGATGACTTTGATATATACAAACTTTAGCTGTGTTCTCTTTTTTTATTCTATATCTATATTTGAAATGTCATTGGGGCAATTTTTTTTCTTCAATTATCCTAGTATTTTCTGCTGGATAAAAATGTTTCTGATATGCTTTCCTTTTCAGAGTTTATGTGTTATGCTGGCTGACGATGACGATCCATGTTTTCTCTATTCTTTATTTATTACTGAAGATGATTTTAAAGTGTTAAAAGCGCAGCAGGGTCTGCTGGTTGATTTTGATAACTTTGCTACTCAATTAATATGTTTGTTGGAGCAATGTCACATTCCAGGAATAAGTCAGTTGTCAAAGACTCCACCAAAGTTTCTTCTGTTGTTAGCGGAAGAGACTGGAGATTGGAATTTCAAGCTTGTGGAAACAAATAATTTCAAACATCTCTGCCACTTGAGTTTAAACATATCACCCGCAAGTGATTCAGATTTGAAAACACACATGGCAATGAAGATTAAGCAGTTGAAAGAAAATCTTTCACAACAAAATAAAGATGCAGTTAGTTTGGAGACTAGATTGAACGATTTGACAAACAAGCTGGAAACAAAAACAAAAGAATTGGAACAAATGGAGCAAAAATACCTAACTGAAAAAAATCAGATACAATTTAATTCATCACAGCAAATAAATATAGAAAAAGACAGGTATATTTTTAAGATATATTATAAATTAATATTGATTTTACACACACACACACACACACACACACACACACACACACACACACACACACACACACACACACACACGTACGACGACACACGACACACACACACACACACACACACACACACACACACACACAGTATCCAATGAAAATACTTAATTGTTTAAAAATTACTTAATAGTGTAGATTTATTTTTATTTTTAAAATTTACTTTATTAGATTTAAATTTAAATTAAAATAATTTTAATTAGTATTAACATCTTTTAGATTGGCACAAGCGCGACTGGAATGGCAACGACAGAGTGAAAAAGAGAAAATGGAAGTTGAACAGAGGCATGCTGAAACTGTGAAACAATTACACACAGAACTTGCCGAGTTACGAACACAAAACATGACATATAAAGATAAACAATCTTTTTTAGAAGCTACAAATATGGAGCAAGTGAAACAATTGCAGAATCTCGAGAAAGAACTTAATATTGCCGAACGAGATTTGGCACTACTTAAGAAGCAAAATTCAAAATTGGATGTGGATTATCATGATAAAGATAAAACAGTTAATAGTTTACGTACAAAAGTAGCTGTACTTGAACAAGAATTAAAAGACAAAACAGTAATTATTAATAAACACCTCGAAATGCTTAAATCAGGTAAAGAACAAAAACAACATTTGGAAGATCTTTTAACTGAAAGAGACAGTCAGTTGCAACGCAAACAAAACTCTTTGAGGAGTCTAAGCGACGAACTAGTAAAAGCCAATGAAATCTTAACTAAGTTACAAAACGAACTCGCCTCAACCAAATCCAAGTTGAAATTAAGAACGAGCATAGCACTCGAACAAGAAAGATTGTTAGATTCCAAACAGAAAGAAGTTGGCCAATTAGAAATCAAAATGGAGGGTCTTGTCAAAGATGCGAAAGATGCAAAGAGTGAAGTGGATAATTTAAAAGAACAGATAAAAACTTTGCAACAACAATTGGAGGAAAAAGAAAAGATCATAAAGAATAATGATAACGGTAAGACCGTTTTATTATCTTGGTCGATAAAAATGTGTACGATAGAAAATCAATACATTTTATCTTTTATCTTTCTTTTACAGTAATTAGCTGGCTGAATCGAAGATTGGCAGACAATCAGTCACAAAGCGCTATTACACCAGCTCCAGTTACGATTTCATCCTCCGTTCCGCTAACGTTACCTAGAACAAATAAATTATTTCCTAACCGATATGAAACACGCACGCCCGCGCCCAGCACGACACAGCCCAGCACGTTATCGGGATTACCGATGAAGAATCCAATCGTGCAAAATCCAAACATTAACCAGACCACTCGTACGACAGCACGATCGATGGGTGTCGGTGTAACGGAAAGTTCAGTGGGATTAACCACTTTTAACAAGAGCCCCTTGATCTCGAGCACTAGCACGCCTATGGACCGTTTCAATTCGTTTAATAAAATATCAGGAAATCCACCAGCTTCAACATCGGCACCAGCTATAATAGAAAATAACAATGGTCCAGCTGTGATCTCGAATGGTACAAAAACGAAAACTGCAAATGTTGGCTTGCAGGGTGGATTGAGACGAGCAGGATTATCCGACAAACCCATTTTACCTTCGGCATATTTTCCCAAGACCTTGCATTAATCCTGCATAAAATGCACGGAAGGAATTATCAATGTAAAAATTGGTGAGTTGAACTCATGTCACAGTACTTTAAGAATCAAAACGTAGGAACGACAAAACTGTAATATCATTACAAGCGTGATATTTCAAGTTTGCCGTCTCGGAGGTAGTACAAATACTTGTAAGAATGATTAGTATTATTTACAAGACATTTTTTATAAAAAAAATTCCAAACTATTTTTAATCCTACACATTGGCATCTTTTTGATTGGCACAAAATTGATATTAGGCTATTGTCAATTTCTAAATGGTGTATCAATGTAGGATTAATATTAACATAATTATATGTATATATTATATGCTAACACACTCCGATCTCGTTTGCTATGACATACAATGCGTATATCGATAAGAAAATTTTATTAATCATTACAATTCATTTTTATATTGGCTCTAATTCACGTCAACATTATTAGTATAATCTTTATAATAATTAGTATAATCTTATATAAGAAAGTCTATTTTTAATATGAATTATTTGACAAAGTATTCTCCCTTGACATTGATATTTATATTTGAGGCATAATATATGCATATACATATAAATCAAAAAAATTGAGAGAAATTTATAATATTAATTATTAAAATAGTTTTTTCAATAATTCGAAATTTAAGTATATTCTTTTAAAACAATTACAATCTTTAAAAACCTATCTCGCAAATATCACAAAAATAAACATTTCTTAACTAGCAAATTCAAAAGAGTAATTATAAAATCAACATGACGTATTTTCATATTATCTTCGTATTATCTTATCATGATCATGATTTAACATTTTACTATTCACTACTGATAATTAAGCTTTTCATTGTTAGATTCGTAATTACTTTTATATTTAAAGCATATTAATCACATAGGTACCTGGAAAATAATTTTAACTTTGTGGATTTTATATAAGCTGTATAAATATTTTTATATATAAGTGAAAATTGTAATGAAATATATATAAAGAGCTCTCTAATTTTACGACTTATGATCATAAAAGATCACAAGGCCATTTGACAAGAGTAATAGAATGTGCCTTATATGTCACAGAATAGATTAGAAAATTCTATTGTATTTATATACATACATACATACATATACATATATATGATTTATTATACAACTATTATATAGAAATCATATTGAAGAGAAATTGTTCGTTAATTGCAATATTGTATAAAAAGTTCTTAGATATCTTTTTAGACCATGTGCCACGAGGTACAGAGACATGTCAAGTATAAATTCAATCTTATAAAGCATGTCAATTTATTAAATTACATAAATAGAGCAACAGTATTAAATATAATAAATATAGCGATAGATGGTAAATAAATGATTTCATATATTTTACTACTTTTGTACATAGAATTATAATAAACGTCTCTATTATATAATACGTGTTTTTGCGTATTTATATGGAAAGCTGTGTATGTCAGTCTCGTAATGTACATTGTTTTTTTTTTTTAAATTACATCAAAATATCAGATTGTAGTAGTATATTATTCGGAGAACTGACACAAATTATGTTACACTTCCCTATACTTTTATGCACATTATACATACAGATATTTACACGAGAAAATCAGATACGAGATTCGTAATTTTCGAGGACTGCCGTAAAATTAAAATGCAAATTTCACAAAGAATACTGTAGAAATATTAAAAGATTGTTAACGAAACAATGGTACATTTTAATTCGTATCAAACGGAGGCGATTCACTGCTGTTCGGCAGATCTGTACATCCCATATCTAAAAGAGGCATGTCCATCCGTTTACGTCTGCGTTCACATTTGGGGCACGGTTTACTGGCATTTAAACAATCCGCGTGAAATACGGCGTTGCATGCTCCACACTGGAAATAAAACGCTCGTCGTAAAATTAGGCTCACATTAAACGGAAAGGGAAATAGACAAAGACAAAGAAAATGCGCTGCTTACCCGAAATGTAGACTCCATGTCAAAAGGATAAATGACTTTCGTATCGTTACATACTTCGCATATAAAACCCTTCTGACTACAGAGCCAACAATTTATTACATGATTCCTTGCAAATTCAACGACTTTTTGAAGTTGCTGCGCGAGGATGCCATTGGGGATATCGAGGAGGTCGGTAATGGAATATTGGTGAACGTGTTCGTACAGGTAGTCCCTCGGGGCGACCTTTTTCTGCAGCGATTCGATAATGGGTTCGCGACACGTGAACAAATACGCTCTCAGCAAGTTCAATTGGATCCGCAAGGATTGCAATTGCGCCATAGTGTCTACGGCCATGTAAATCCGCGGGTTCAAGATCTTCAGGTCCATCAGAGCGGGCTTGCCTTCCAGATACGAAGCGGCTTTTCGGCTAATGGGATATTGCTTCAAGTCCCAGTTGTGAATCATACGCGACGGTATGAGATACTGCCCCTCGGCCATGCACTTTAAACAATAATAATTGCCCGAGTATGCGCACACGTGCGCCTTGGAGAAGGTCATCCCGATCGCGTAACCGCAATCGAAACAACTATAATTTTGTATGTCCAAACCTTTTTCCCTCGGGATGTTACCTAGTTGCTCGTCGAAATTTATCACAGCCTGGAAAACAGAAATCCACGAATTATAATCGTCGAATCGTTGAACAAATCGAGCGAAATCGCATAAGATGAAATTTCAAAAATATTTATCAGCATTACCTTCGGTTCAGGCTGAGCCTTGGATTCCTCCTCAACGGTCTCTCTCTTCGGATATCTCTTCAGGAATTCTTGCAGATCCGACACCGAGCTACTCCCAGCGATCTGATAACTCTGGATGAGGGCGTCGTACGTAGGACCATCGCCGGGTGTGCGAGGCGCATCCGCGCCTGATCCGTGAGATATCACAGAAGGTGAAGTCAAAGAAGACTGGCAGTCTTCGAACGAGGTTGACCATCCTAACTTTCCTATCAATGAATTGCCGACTGTGGTGGCCGCGGTGGTATCATTAACGACTTCGTTGTCTCTCGGAACATCTCGCAACAACGGATCCTCCGTATCAGCGGCGAATACGTTATCCGTATTCTTATTTTCCGCATTGCCATTTGATATTTGTCGTATCTCTCTCTCTTGTCGTATCTCATCCTCTTCTCGGTTCTTCATCGTATCGTCTTCTTGCGCGCCGCTCGCTACGGCACTCGCCGCAGAATTGTTGTGCAACTGTTGGATAACGTCGTTGGATCGTTGTTCTTTAGCCAAAATGATTTTCAGCGCCTCGTCTTCCGTGATGGAGGTCACGTTATTAAAGACGGACTGCGTGGAGGTGAAGGATCCTATTCCGATGGAGCTGCCAATGGAACTCGCGGTCTCGACTTCGTCGAAGTTATCGGCGGGCTCGCTGTTTATCGTCTTGGCGATATCCACCGCGCTGAATACGGGACAGGACTTCATCGGCGGGGACCATATACCGGCTATGAGCAGAGGGGTGGACGACCAGAAGTTTAAAAGGCTGCTGTTGCAAGCTAACTCGAATCGCACGTAATCCAAATTTTCGATCAATCTCTGGGCGACCTCGACGAGATCGACATCCCTGATGTAGGCCGACCGATTGTAATACGGCTTCAGGGCCGAATTTTCCCTCCTTATGGCGCAAAAGTAGCTAGCTAACAGACCCTCGTTCAGGGCCAGTCGTATCCACGCTCGGCAATATCCGACTTCTGTGGTGACTTGGCTTAACGCCTGGATCTGATCTATGATTTGACGATGCGAGAATACCAACAGCGGGCCCCAGAAGCTTGGCTGCGGCATGGCATCGAAGTCGGGGCCACTGAGAGCCTCCGTCACCCGATTCAACAGACTGTCCTTCAAGCCGTGCAGAAATATAGCCTCCAGGATGGAGCACAGGGTCATGCTCTCGTCGCAGTTGCCGACAACGCCGTCGTCGGCGACCCCCGGCGCGCTCTGCATCTCCATGACGCTCGTGTTGAGCTGTTTCTGCAGGGAGTCCCGGACCAGCAGGTTCCTCTTGTTGCCCACGATCGACATCTTCAGCAGCGAGTTCATCTTGCGCGCTATCAGCAAGGTGGTACGTCACAGGGAAACCGTCACGTCTTCCGCCACGGTCTCGTCGCTGAAGCATCTTCGCGGTCGCTGCGATGCCGAAGGGTCGCAGAGGATCAACCGGAGTCGAGGCCGCGCCTCCGGAGATGTCCTCGTGGCCGTGGCCGTGTGACCAAGTGTGCCGCGTCCTGCAAAACGGCGAATGCAAAAACGTCGTATAGATTACGTTCGGGGCGCGCGGGCGTCACGACGGTACTGACAAAGGAACAAGGAAGTGGCTGCGACGCGAGAGAATGAAGTCATCGTATCGCCGCCGGGGCCGATAGCGCGCGGCGATATTGCGCGCGTGGAAACTCGCACCCGCCGGAGTGTGCGTTATCGTTCGAGCGCCGTGTCCGTGAAGTAGGTTAGGTCCCTGGCGAGCAAAAACATTCGTGACGCGAGCAGCCAGAAGACTCCAAGATCGCCGCCTCCCCCCTTCTCTCTCTCTCTCTCTCTCTCTCTCTCTTC